CTGGCACTGGGCTAATTGCCAGTCAATCAAAGATCACCTTTGTCTTCCTCCTAAAGAAGGAACTCTTTGTGGGTGGTTGGGGCCAAGGTCTGGTCAACTGTACAAGCTCTGGTCACTTGGAATCTAGTCCAGGAGGCTGGTAGAGTGGCATAAAAAGTGTAGTAAAATGAATCTTGACCTGGTAATCTCAGATTCTGTGTTCAGTCCTTTTTTTTTTTTTCTTTTTTTCTTTTTTTGGCAGCTGGCACAAGGATCTGAACCTGTGACCTTGGTGTTATAAAGCTGCACTCTAATCAACTGAACTAACCAGCCAGCCTTATGTTCAGTCTTTAACTCTTATGAGCTATGTTACTTTGGGCAAGTCATCCACAAATATGAACTTCTTTTCTCATTGTGATAAAGATATAGTAGTTAGACTTTCTAACTCCATGAGTCACTGGGTAGCTCAGATATACCAAACCCTTATTTTCTCGCTTGTCTGAGGTCATTCATTGTCAGATGCACTATCGATTTGATAACAGATTTTGTACTTGTGCTGGGGGTGGGGTGTGAGAAGCATAATGATGTCTATGCCAATTGAAAAAGGCATTCTGTTTTCATTAAATTGAGAAAAAGTGCTTTTTGCATCAAGGAAATATAGTATCTGTGGAAGTGCTCATGTTCTGAAACTGGAAAACCATTGCCTAACTGTGGGCTCTGATTATGGCACACTCAGATGTTCTGAATTAATAACTGAGTTGATTTTCTTCTTTCTTGCTCAGTGATATCTATTAAGGATTTGCTTTATTATCTTGAAAAATTTCAAACATACATAAAAGTGAAAGCAATGAACTACCATGTACTCATTATCCAGATGAAATGAAAATCAACACAGGGCCACTCTAGTTTTTTCTGCTTTCCCCTCCAATACCCCCCTTCTCCCTCCCCCTCTCCAATATGAACTATTGTAAGTACTTTAAGGTAGTATTAATAGCCATTTCCCGCTCACTGTTTTCTAATCAGAGATATACTGTTATTTTAATAGATGTTTGCCAGTTTAGTTTGCATTGCATACTTCTCCTGAAAGGTCTACATTAATCCAGTTGAGAAATAAACACTTTTTAAAGAGGCCCCTTAACCAATGGTAGTTACTAAGGGTGAGAAGTTAGTTTAAAACATTACTTGAGAAGTGAAAAGCTGTTGGTTCTCATATTTCTGAATACCTCCCAATTTTAAAACCAGTTCAGTGCAGTAGGCAAGATCAGAAAGAAACTGACCTAGGGCCGGCCCGGTGGCGCACTGCTACAGTGCGCCGCTTCAGAGCACGGTGGCGCTCCCGCCGAGGGTTCGGATCCCACATACAGACCGGTTCCCGCTCACCTGCAGGGAATCTCTGCTAAAAAATTTTTGTCTTACTTTCTGAGTAATAGGTTTTAGACTATTAGTACTTAAACACAACCACATATAAATATTTACTTAGATGAAGCTATGGTGAATCACATATGTAATGGCAATCAGTTTTACGTAGTGGTTTGACCACTCTTCTAATCAAGGCTACATAAGTAGGAATGAAGTAAAAAGTGTGGAAGTTGGAGGGAAGGTACAGCGAGGAAGGTTTTTCAGTTTTTTTTTTCTTTCTTTTCTTTTTTTTTTTTTTGCAGCGTTAGGAGGGGTGGGCAGATCTCAGTCAACAAACACATATTTCAGAGCGTGAACCACATTCTCTAAGCTGGCACCATGGATGTACTGTGCTGGGGATGTTTAACTGCTTGTTGGGTTTTACAGCTTTATAAGCAATGCTCCTTGGAGCTCTCTACTTGCTATTCTGAGACATATTTGAGTTTGGCACCCAAGAAGGTAAATGACTTTGATTTCCAAAACCAGTCACTCATTTTTAAGTGTTGTGGTAGGAAATTTATTTGAATCCACCACTTCAGAGGTGCAAGAGCCAGTGAGGACCCTGCTGCAGTGAAAAGAATTCTTTTATTGAAACCCCAGCTTGCTTTAAAAGAAGCCAAGGAGTACTGAATTCCAGGACTGCCATACAGTCTTCCTTTTATTCTTTCCACCACCCCAGGCCACAGGAAAAAAATAAATAAATAAAATAAATCTTTGTTCTTATTTTCACAAGTTACCACATGGTTTGGAACCTTCAGAACTATTTCTTAAACTCATTGGTATCTGCCAAAAAAGTTCTCTTTAACACACACAGTTCAATGAAAGACAGTTGTGAGATGTTAATTTCCACCTACTGCAGAAAAGAAGACATTTAATGCATTAAGGAAATACATAGCTTAAAGAAATGGCAAACTTTTGGGACAAACGGTTGGGGGCCTGAGGCACAAAGCTCCAAAATCAATGCGTATTGAACACCCACTCTGCACAAGGTTGTTGAGGAGGTTCAAAAGTCTAAAATAAAGTCCTACAAATTACCTACTGTCTAGTTGGGCTGAAATAACCCACACTCAGGGAACAATGCAAGAGTTAAACAGTAAAACTAGACAAATACATATGCAATGAAACAAGGCACTGTATGGTTGAACATACACAAGAGTGTTTCAGGCAATATAATCTGGTGGTTTAGGGATCACAGTGATCTGAACACCCCTTACAAATCTTCACAAAGAAGGTGCACATTGGGATGGGTTTGCAGACATAGATAAGAATCAGATAACCTTAAGCGCAAAAGAGGAAGTGAATAGTCTGGTTGTAAGAGAGGGGATTGGGAAGGGTTGGAAGAGTGGGAAAAGGGCAGATTGGTAAATGCCTTAATGGTAATAACTGGTCGGGTGTTTGAAGATTGTTCTTAAGGACTCAAGGTCAATAGCAGTGTTTACACCTAGACTACCTAATGCGTGGGATCCCCTTTCCTTTTCTTTCTCCCTTCTTTCCGTCCTTTAAAAACGGAGTCTGATTCGACAGTCAAGGTCATTCCCAGCCGCTAGGCGATAAGGAAGCGAATAAGGCACAAAGTATTTTTGGCCCAGAAGTTCCTTCTGGGGGTGGAGCTCGGAAGTCGGAGGGAGTTGGGCCAGGTAGGACGATACCTATCAGCAGCCTTATTCCGGCTTTTGAGAATACGGCTCAGCTCCCCGCAAATGCCCGGAGGGTAAAACAGGCTCAGCCGCGAGCGAAAAGCATTTTCCCAGGCGCTCTCACAGTTCAAATGCCACATTGTAAACGGCGGCTGCAGAGCCCCGCTGCGCACACAAAAAAAGTGTCTTCTCACCATATGGTTAGTGTTTACAGGTTTCGTCTAGCTCTTGCTCGCCAGAACTGGAAAATTAATAACACTGACGAAATGATATGTCACAGGGAGGGCTGAAAAAGAGAAGTGCGTAAAAGGGTCCCAGAAAGAACCAGCTTCCGTGCAGACAGGTCCACAACATCTGCGTGAATCTGCGGTCTCCCGCCCTCTGGGTCCCTCGGCCCACCCCCAGGTGGGGACGGGGACTCGGGAAGCCCCGGCCCACCCGGCTCTCCTTCGCAGCCAGCAGATGGCTCCCGGGCTCGCTCTCTCCCCGCTCCCTCGCCCCCTCTCCAGACGCAGGGCTTGTGCAGTTTGGGAGGGAGGCTGGCGAGGAGGGGCGCCGAGCCG